ATGTGGGGTTCGGGTTTAGGGTTTAGGGTTTAGGGTTTAGGGTTTAGGGTTTAGGGTTTAGGGTTTAGGGTTTAGGGTTTAGGGGTACCTTATTACCCCTGTGTGGAGTCGTTGGGGTTTGGGGCTTGGTGCTTATATAAGGTTCCGGGTTTGGGGCTTAGAAGTTCAAGGTGTTGAGACTTCGTCTTGTGGCTAAGGATTCGGGGATTGGCGCTTAGGAATTGACGCTTGGGGCTTAGAGTTTTCCGCACAGCAGCAAGTAGGACGTGTGTTACGCGCATAAAAGCAATGCTCATTCCCAACCCCACCCGCCCAAATCTCACCCATGGCTGTCTTATGACTGTCCTGTCTATGGGTGGGCTCGCGAGGACGAAGTTGCTTCTGACAAAAGGCTTACACAAATCCTCGGTTCGGGTAGTGAAGAACGGCCGATAGACAGTCCCCGTCACACATGAAGAAGCCCCGGCCCGGACCCACTGCAAGACCCCTTTTACCGCAACTCCTCTAAAAAAGGGAAGGGTTTAGGGTTTAGGGTTTAGGGTCTAGGGTTTAGGGTTTAGGGTTTAGGGTTTAGGGTTTAGGGTTTAGGGAAATGAGGGCCTCTGAGCTGGGTCCTGGTAACCTTAAACGCCCTGCACAAACCCCAAACCCTACACCCTCACGGGAAGCTCCTAGTGAAGGCCTTTAAAAGTTTGTGGAACCCTTGAACACATCCCAGAGGCCCAGAAAGGCCCGGAACCCTAAGCACCCCAGGCTGGGGGACCCGCTACAAGAATGAAATAATTTAGCACGGCTGGTGGACCCGCTACAAGAATGCAATAATTTAGCACAGAGGCCGATGGTCCTGTGTGGCCGTTAAGCCCTAAACCCTCAAGCCTAAACTCTCAACCCTGAACCCCAAACCCTGCTTGGAGGTTCATGGGCACTTATAACCCCAACTAAAAGTCTACTTAGAACCCACTTAGCTACTGTTTGCCTAAGAATCCCAAAAGAATGAAAAAAACAATAGTCCCTATATTACCCTTAATGAGGAATGACATGTTTATTTTTCGGTGTTCTAGGGCCAAGGGAACCGCTGAACCTCGAAGTAAACCCCAAACCCCAAACCCCAAACTCTCAACCATTAACCCGAAACCCTCAACCCCAAACCCTAAACCCTGAGCCCTAAATCAAAACCCTAAACTCTAAACCCTAAACCCCAAACCCTCAACCTTCCACCCAAAGTCAGCCCGCGGGGCCGTGTCAGGATCGAGCTTTGCTATCCTGGGCGGCACCCCCCCAGGAATAAACCCTAAACATGCCTAAACATGCCGGAGCCCTAAGCCCTAAGCCCTAAGCCCTAAGCCCTAAGCCCTAACCCCTACACCCTAAACCCTAAACCCTAAACCCTAAACCCTAAACCCTAAACCCTAAACCCTAAAGCCCTAAACCCTGAAACCCTAAACCCTAAACCCTAAACCCTAAACCCTAAACCCTAAACTTAAGGACTGCCGGGCTCATGAGGACCTCACGCGGCTTTGAGGGCGAAAAAGGCACGGGCTGTTTTTGTTGTGTTCGTGGCCTTTGTTCCCCCCCCCCCCCCCCCCCACGATTCTTCATCTGAGTTAGGGTTTAGGGTTTAGGGTTTAGGGTTTAGGGTTTAGGGTTTAGGATTTAGGGCTCAGGGTTGTCTTCGGGGTTCGGGGCTTAGGGCTGAGGGTAAGTCCTATAAATCCGAAACCACATGCTTAGATTTCTGGGATGCTCTATTGCACCAGGGCTCAGCAACCCTGAGCCCTGCAGCCCCATTCTCTACACTTCTTCTACCTGCTAGCCCAGGAACCATATTATGATAACGGCACACTTGTTTAGTTTAAAAGGGAACCTTGTACCCCAAAAAAGGGAAAAGAGTACCACTGGGCTACCAAGTCTAGTACCCCTAACCCCTAATCCGAGCTCCTGTTTAATTAAACCCCCCATATTTAAAGAAATTTTTGTTTGCCCGGATTCCCGCCGGAAGACTACTTTCCATTACGATGGATTTCGTATGGGCCAAACCCCCCCACATTTAAAGAATTTTTGTTTGGGGGGGTTGTCAAATTTTGAAACTCTGCCTTTCGGAAAGCTTTTTTCTTCTGCAGGGATGTTTGGGTTCTTATTGTTTTTTAATAGAGAAACCATACGGGGCCATGGTCCAACTATTGCGGAACCCTGCCTTCCTTATTGTGGGGGGGGGGGGGGGGGGGGGGCCCCCCAATTAAACAGGAGCTCGGATTAACCCCTGAACCCTGAACCCTAAACCCTAAACCCTACACCCTAAACCCTAAACCCTAAACCCTAGGATTTGGGGTTTAGGTTTTAGGTTTTGGGGGTTTGACTCCTGCAGCCCGCTCTTTTAACACCTACCCCCTACGAGCCCTCGAGGCCGGTTTACCAGAAATGGTGGAGGGTTTAGGGTTTAGGGTTTAGGGTTTAGGGTTTAGGGTTTAGGGTTTAGGGTTTAGGGTTTAGGGTTTAGGGTTTAGGGTTTAGGGTTTAGGGTTTAGGGTTTAGGGTTTAGGATGGCGGGAATACTTGGAGGTTCATGGTACTTAGTGACCCAATTACCCAATTAGAACTGCACTTCTAACCCAATTATCACCCTAGTAGAGTACTTAAGTGGATTATGTATGGTGGGTTACAACTAGCAATTATCATGGGTTACTAAGTACCCTGAACCTCCAAGTAGTTGGTACTGGTTGAAACGATGGGTATGAGTGGGAAGCGCGCAAAGGTGGAAATCACAAGAGGTGTTGAGCAAGGTTGGCAAGGTCGCACAAGTGAGTGATGGTCATGGGAATGGTCGCGCTAAGGCAGTCGAAACCAAAATCCAAGAGCGCCCCACTGAGAGTGCCAGTCAATTAGGGTTTAAATTTAGATACTACGGGATGCCTGGACTCGCAGAAGCTCTAAACCCTAAACCCTAAACCCTAAACCCAAAGCCCTAAACCCTAAAACACTAAGCCCTAGACCCAAAAGCCGCTGAAATCCATGAGAACAGGGGTTGCAAGTGAGCTTCCAATCGTGTTGACTCCATCGCCCGTCCTGCCCAGAATGCAACCGACGGCTGATTCAGGGTTTAGGGTTTAGGGTTTAGGGTTTAGGGCTTTAGGACTTAAAGGGCGTTAAGGTTAGGGTTGAGGATGGTTTTAGGTCTTTAGGCCTTAGGGCTTTAACTAGCGGAAAAAGGAGGGGGCGTGAAGGCTTCAAGGACTTTACGAGCTTTCAGGGTTTGGGGTTTACCCTAAACCCTAAACCCTAAACGCATGTACCTTCCCGAGTCTCATAGGGGCCGCCAGGGGCTCTTGAAACTCTTGAATGGGCTCTGCCAGGGCTTGAAGAGTTTGGGGTTCGAAGGGTTTAGGGTTTAGGGTTCTCGGGTTCGAAACAACTAAACCCTAAACCCTAAACCCTAAACCCTAAACCCTAAACGGTTTAGGGTACCGAGTTCCAATTGTTACCCACCACCTAAACTAAGTCCAAGCTCACTAACACCTGACATTTTTCTAGTTTGTCCGGTAGGGTTGACATGAATAAGGGGTGCGCCCTCTGTGTTCCTATTATGGCGAAGGCGAATTGCAGAAAGGCCGCAAACTCTCAAACGTCTGAACCTTTGAGAATACAATGGCCTATTTAGCAAGAATCTGCTTCGCGGGCAGATGATTTTGTAACTGGATGGTAAATTTGGGTTTAGGGTTAAGGATTTTGGGCTTAAGGTTGAGGGTTTAGGGCTTTGGGTTTTGGGTCTGGGGTTGCCATCGGAGAGGCTAGAAGTGATGATCAAAAGTTACTCACCGATTTGGTGCTTACATCATCCTACGCACCAAACCCGAAAAGTGGACCATGTGACGCCCTAAACCCTAAACCCTAAACCCTAAACCCTAAACCCTAAACCCTAAACCCTAAACCCTAAACCCTAAACCCTAAACCCTAAACCCGACCATGTGTTCTAAATGTCTGTGTGGTGGTTTCAATCACTGGGGCGGCTGTGTGTGTGTGGTTGTTTCACTGGATGGGGGATTGGGATGTTCCCCCATATACTAACAGTCCTTAATAGGGATTGTAATGGGATTATCACAGAGGGTACTATAATCCCCATTAAGGACTGTTAGTATCAGGGGGAACATCCCAGATGGGCGAGAAAGTCCTCTGCGAAACCGCACCCCCCTCCCAAACCTTAAACTCTGAACCCTAAACTCTAAACCCTAAACTCTGAACCCTAAACCCTGAACCTTAAACCCTAAACCCTGTTGTGCATCCGGACTCCTGTGGGTGTTGCCAGACACTGCCCAAGCACAGGCTACCAGCCCTACTGACTGGACTCATGCACTCTAGCACGCCAATCAACAGGCACAGTCTCAAGCATGAGGACAAGATGACCATCTCGCAACATATCATGAGAAACCCTAAACCCAACTAAAAAATAAAAAACCTAAACCCTAAACCCTAAACCCAAAACCCAAAAATCCCTAAACCCTAAACCATAATACCCTATAATACCCTAACACCCTACACGAACCGAGTGTCTGGAGCGTCGCTGACTGTTGGGGTTCTTTGCCTGGGTCCGGATCCAGCTTTGCTGGCGGATCCCAAGGGAAAAGGCAAAAAGCACTCCAGCCCAGTAGCGACTCCGGGCTTCTAGGGGTTTAGGGTTTAGGGTTTAGGGTTTAGGGTTCAGGGTTCAGGGTTTAGGGTTCAGGGGATGTAAGGTTTAGGGCTTAGGGCCAGTTTAGGGTTTAGGGGCTTTGGGTTTAGGCTTTAGGGCTATATATAGGTTATGCAAGTACCATACCCTGAGGGTTTGGTTGCCGAACTGCTTCATACTGTACACTGTACATTTCTGATGACAGCAGTTCAACTTTACTGGCTCTTAGTAGGGAATTGCTTAGTCGTGAATTAGGGAATGAGGTAATTACCCCGTATAATCCTTTAAAGGGAAAAGATAGGGGGAGAATAAGGTACCTAATTCCGGCATTATCTACTCAGACAACCGAGGAGGTTCCGAGGCAAAGCGTGAAAGCAAACTCCGTCTGCTTCGGAGAGCTTTTGGATTTGGGCCTCGTTGATGATTTGCCAGGCCGCCTTCTGTCATGGGCTTGCTCACTCAGAGCCTTCCTGTAAACATGTTGCTGCTTTCGAACTTCCTTCCGCTTCCGCAAGTCACGCTTGCGGCGGTGAGCCTCCTTTGCTGTAAGGTCTTCTGAAAACAGCAGCGCTGTGTTCAGGTGGCCTTTCCCGCCTTTACCCATGAGAATTCCTGCCCGGAACTTGTCCATTCCGCGGAGGCGCCCGACGGTGTCGCGCACGAGCCGTCTGTCCAGGTCATGTGCAGCTTCCTCCAGCACGTCCCATATCATGCTGCCTGCTCCCTCAAGGAGCCTCGCAATCATTCTCTCAGAGTCCACGGCTCTTCCCCGGTAGGGCTGCTGGCGAAGGAGCCTTGGTAGCCAAGTAACCATATTAAAACAATGGCACCCCTTTTTTTGGTTGGTTACTTTACTAAGGGAACCCAGAACTAAAAAAAAAGAGTAAAGGGTACCACTGGGCTACCAAGTAAACCCTAAACCCTAAACCCTAAACCCTAAACCCTAAACCCTAAACCCTAAACCCTAAACCCTAAACCCTAAACCCTAAACCCTAAACCCTAAACCCTAAACCCTAAAGGGTACCACTGAGGAGCAGTGCCAAGTCCAGCGCGGTGTGGCCTTCGCGTGTCCGGGCGTGGAGGTCCACCCGCCCATCTGCCAGGAGCTCCTCAACAACCTCTGGGCTCCCTGCGAGCCTTTAGGGTTTAGGGTTTAGGGTTTAGGGTTTAGGGTTTAGGGTTTAGGGTTTAGGGTTTAGGGTTTAGGGTTTAGGGTTTAGGGTTTAGGGTTTAGGGCTTAGGGTTTTCGGGTTTAGGGCTCCCTGCGAGCATTGGTAGCCCAGTAGCCGTAGTAAAGTTATATAACAAGGGCCACCCCCTCTTCTTGGGGGGGCGTAGTTTCTTTATAAGAGAACCTTAAGAACCAACAAAAGGGACAAAAGGGTCCCAAACCCTAAACCCTAAACCCTAAACCCTAAACCCTAAACCCTAAACCCTAAACCCTAAACCCTAAACCCTAAACCCACTGGGCTGCAAAGGAGCACGGCCATGTGAAGTGCCGTCTGCCCTGCGGCGTTCGCCCTGGCCACGGCTCTGAAGCGCCGGTGCTTCAGCAGGAGCCTATACTTCTTCTTAGAACCTTAAGAAAAATAGTACATTTTCTCTATACTCCGCTTAGAACCGTAAGAAAAATATTAATTTTTAATATCATCTTTTCTTCTTAGAACCTTAATAAGAATAATATCGTTAATAATTATCCTCTTATAAAAATAGTATTTTTTAAATATACTCTTGGGTTTTTTGTATAAACAAATTTTTAAACAAATGATTCCCAAGGGGGATATAGGAGCGAGCAGATCTCCCCATGGCCCCACGCAATCGCAGCGTGAAGGGCTGTGCAAGAGCGTTCGCAGTAGTCCTCCACGTCGTAGCCGAAGTTGAAGTCGTTGGGCAAGGGGATATCTGCCAGGGCATCGGCCACCCGAAAGGCGGAATGGTCCAGCAACGTCTTGGCGATGCGGGCCTGGCCCCCAATGGCTGCATAATGCAGGCCGGTGCACCGGGTGCAGGCGTCATAGAAGCCACCGATGACATCGTCATCTCGCTCATTGACAATGCTGCCATCCCTGTCTGCTTCCTTGGCTACACTCCGAAGGGTAGCCAAAAATTAAAACTTTAGCTGCCTTACTAATTAAGAAACCCAATAAACCCAAAAAAGGTAAGGGTCTAAAGTTACAGTAAAGTACCACAAAGCTTCCATGATGTACTTCACCACCTTCACGTCCTTTCCCTCCGTCGCGAGGAAACTGGGCGCCTTGTAAGGGCTCCAGGCTATGCGCCGAAGGTTCGGTGTCGACTTCCTCGGTACCCCTGTAGCTATATCATAATGAGGGCATCCCTTTTTGGGTTGGCTAGTTTAAAAGGGGACCTTGAAGCAAAAAAGGGAAAAGGGTACCACTGCATGGACTACCAAGCTTCAGAAACGCCAAGAGCTTGGGCGCCTCCGTGCGGAAAGCCAGCAACTCCACGCAGTCCGCCCGGGCGAAACTGTGAGAGATGCAGGAAACATCAGCGAGCACCTGTCCCTCGCAAAGAAGGTCGAGATATGCGGCTGGTGTTTTGGCCGGTGCCTCCAACATGGGTTTCCGAAAATATTAGGGGTACCTTATGGGGGGTCCTTATTACATGAGGAATCCTAGAGGTCTATATTAAGGGATCGTAAACCCCCAACTTCGACTGTTGTTTTGGCCGGCGCCTCCAACATCTCCTTCAGCTCCCTGACCACGGTGCGAGCATCGACAAGCAGCTTGCGAATGGGAGCGCCAGTCATGGCCCAGGAGACATCCGCCCAAACCTTGCCGCCGCAGCTCATGGTCCCTCCGGAGGGCTTCTGCGCAGAAAGCGCCAGGTGGTCGGGAATGTCAAAGAATGCTTTGGCGAACGTACATGTTCGTCGCCCTTCCCTAGAACTGAGTCCGCATCCCAAGAGCTCAACAAAAACCCTAAGGCTAAAGCCTCAACATATCTAGGCCCTCTAGCCACCAAGCATTGCATCTCCAGCCAAAAGGAGGGCCGACAGGAAGCATCCGTTTCGTAAAGCCGAGAACGGGCCTAGGGTTTCGGGTTGAAATAGTTTGCAGGGTTTAGTGCATAGGGCTTAGGGTTTAGGGTACAGTACTCCTTCATGAGGGCCTAAGTACCTTATATATCCCTCTCTATAAACCCTTTAAGGGATTCTGTGGGATTTAGGGTCTAGGGTGCAGGGTTTAAGGTCAGGGCTGAGGATCTAGGGCTAGACCCAAAACATAACCTAGGAATAAAACAGGTAGCGGATAAGGGAACCTATAGTTATATCAACCTTATCAACAAAAGGGAATGAGAGCCTACTCCGGGTCCAAGTGTATTTCGGGCATCGCAAAGGGTACTCGGACCAAAATACCTGTTCCCAAAAAGCCAAAAAATCTAGACCCACAAGTAAGCTAGGAATATAAAGGGTACCCTTTTGGGTTTAAAGGGGTTGAATTACAAGGGAACCCAAACCGTAAAAAAAAAAAAAAGTATAAGGGCCCACGCCGGGTCCTAGTATTTTCCTTATAATACACACAGAGGAACTTCCCAGCGAGGAGGCAAGACAGGGCCTTCAGAGTAACACTCCATATGCTAATATCTTCGGTAGGTAGCCTTCAAAGAAGTTGGGCTGTGAGTTCGGTTTGTTTAGGGTTTAGGGTTTAGGGTTTAGGGTTTAGGGTTTAGGGTTTAGGGTTTAGGGTTTAGGGTTTAGGGTTTAGGGTTTAGGGTTTAGGGTTGAGGGTTAGGGTTTAGGGTTTAGGGTTTAGGGTTTAGGGTTTAGGGTTTAGGGTTTAGGGTTTAGGGTTTAGGGTTTAGGGTTTAGGGTTTAGGGTTTAGGGTTTAGGGTTTAGGGTTTAGGGTTTAGGGTTTAGGGTTTAACTTAGGGTTTAGGGTTAAGTTGGGGTGGGGGAGGGTTAGAGGGTTCCAGATTTGAGGGTTGCGACGTCAACTTGCGGGATAAGGGGTTTAGGGTTGAGGCTTCGCAGGCGGAGGGCTAAAGTTCAGGGTGTTGGGAAGCCCCACGCATCCAGCACGAAACGTGCGAATTCAACAAGGGCCCTTAAACCCTAAACCCTAAACCCTAAACCCTAAACCCTAAACCCTAAACCCTAAACCCTAAACCCTAAACCCTAAACCCTAAACCCTAAACCCTAAACCCTAAACCCTAAACCCTAAACCCTAAACCCTAAACCCTAAACCCTAAACCCTAAACCCTAAACCCTAAACCCTAAACCCTAAACCCTAACCCTAAACCCTAAACCGTCGGGCCTTGCCTGGATTACAGCTCGCCAGATGATCTTGAACACCTCTCTTGCGGTTTAGGGTTTAGGGTTTAGGGTTCAGGGTTCAGGGTTCAGGGTTTAGGGTTTAGGGTTCAAGGTTTGTAGGCACGGCGTTGTTGCGAGGAGGGTTGTTTGGGCGGGGAGGGGCAGGGACCCGCAGGTACGAGTACGTAAACTGAGCACAACATTAAACCCCAAACCCCGAATCCCAAGCCCTTAAAGCCTGAATTTCCTAAAGAGGCGGAAGGAGATCTGTCTTTTGGCCTAAAGCCTAATACCTAAATCTAAACCCCTAAACCTTACAAGGGCTCATGGAAAAAGCTTTGGGGGTTTTGGGGCTCTTAGGAAGGCACCCGCGTGTTGGCCGCAGACCACACGCCCTTCTTGCCCTGCCCGCCGAACTCCACGGGAGTCGGCACCTTCTCACCTGCTTCCGTGGGAGGGCTTCGGGTTTAGGGTTTAGGGTTTGGGGTTTAGGGTTTGGGGTTTAGGGTTTAGGGCTTAGGGTTTAGGGGGTTTCTCAGGTGAGGTTTGGGGTTTGGGTTTAGGGCTTAGGGTTTAGGGATTTAGGGTTTAGGGGTTTAGGGTTCATAATAGCTTCTAGGGATTCGGGCTTGGGGCGTTTTAGCTTCCAGGCTGACCTTGACCACCAATGCTTCCCTTACATAAGTGTGCGGAGGAGGGGCGGGTGGGTTGGTCCTAAATCTCAAACCCTCGAAACCCTAAATCCTAAACCCCTAAACCCTAAACCCCTAAACCCTGAACCCGAAACCCGAAACCCGAAACCCGAAACGAAGTCTACTCCGCAAGCCTTCGGCCCCCGGCCGGGATGGATTCGACCACGCCCTCCCCGTGGAACGAAAGCTCCCAACTCCGAAACACTCCACCCTCCTGAAGCCTCTGTCTATCTTGCATCATAGAGTTTAGGGTTTAGGGTTAGGGTTAGGGTTTAGGGTTTAGGGTTTAGGGGTTAGGGTTTAGGGTTTAGGGTTTTGGGTTTAGGGTCTAGGGTTTAGGGCTTAGGGTTTAGGGTTTAGGGCTTCGGGCTTAGGGTTTAGGGTTTAGGGCTTAGGGTTTAGGATTTTGGGGCAAGGGCTTGGGGTTTAGGATTTGGGATCCATTGAGGTCTCCAAAGAGTTTAGGTTTAGCGCTGAGGATTTAGGTTTTAGGGGCGTCCATACTATAACGAAGTCCAACAAAGTGGGACCCTAGAGAGGGTTTAGGGCTTTGGATTAACACTCCAACTTACCCAAAAGTCCATTTTATAGTACTATTGTTGAACTAGGTACCCCAGAAACAGTATTTGGTATGGTTTCTGGGTAAGTGCTATAAATGGACCCTCTGGGTGAACTAAATGTCCTAATACAGGGACCTTACTAGTTAGAATAGGGTCTTGGGTGATATTCTGGTGTAATGATATAGAGACCCTAAGGGAAGAATACTAGTGTTAGGATTTAAGACCTAAGGTTTAACGACTATTCTGACATGGGATGTTCCCCCAGTCCCTAGTAGGGATTAGGGTGTAGGGATTGGGGGTTTGGGGTTTAGGGTTTAGGGTACAGTACTACAATCCCTACCAAGGACGTTAGTACAAGGGGGTTTTATGCCAAACCTTCAGTCCGAAAGCCTCGACCCTAAACCCTAAACCCTAAACCCTAAACCCTAGACCCTAAACCCTGAACCCTAAACCCTAAACCCTGAGTCCTAAAGCCTCAAGTACATAGGAGGGCTCCCACGAGCGATCCGCCAGTCCCTCTGAGTACCCCGGCATTCCAAGTTCACGTTGTAGAGAACCTCTGTGGCCCCCGATTGTAGGGTTTCGGATCTAGCCCTAAACCCTAAACCCTAAACCCTAAACCCTAAACCCTAAACCCTAAACCCTAAACCCTAAACCCTAAACCCTAAACCCTAAGCCCTAAGCCCTAAGCCCTAAGCCCTAAGCCCTAATCCCTAAACCCTAACCCAGGGTTTAGGGTTTGGGGTGTAGGGTTTCGGGCAGGGGACCACAGCCATAAGCAAAGGACTCAGAGACTCAAACCCCTGAAGGCAGAGTTGAGAGTTTAGGGTTTAGGGTTTAGGGTTTAGGTGTTCGGGCTTAGAGAGTATTCCTTAAAATCTTCTTAGACCCCCTATTGTAGTTTTTCGAATGCTCCTTGTTTAAGATGTATTGGAGCCTCTGGAAAGACAAGGGGCGCCACAGAGGATGTGCTGCGTGGTGAGGGTTGAGGGTTCAGGGTTGAGGGTTGAGGGTTGAGGGTTTAGGGTTGAAGGTTCAGGGTTTAGGGTCTAGTTTAATGCTTAATTTCGGGTTTAGGGTTTAGGGCACCCCCCCCCCCCAACGAACACTCTAAACCCTAAACCCTAAACCCTAAACCCTAAGGGGGGTAGTGCTCGCAACTACTCCCCTATGCTCCCGAAACTTCTCTTAGGCGCCCCTACTTGGAGGTTCATGGTACGCACTATCCAATTATAACTGTACCTAATATAACCCACTAAACAGGCCCTTCAGTGCCAAAATGTGGGAAATAATTGGTTAATAAGTACCATGAACCTCCTAGTAAAACCAAAACCTTAAAGCCTACTATTTGCTTAAGAACCACCCAGAAAAATGGAAGATAATAATCTCTATCTTGGCCTTCTACGTAAGAATATGTGCTAGTTTCGGTGGTTCGTTCTTCAGCAAATCGCAGAGGAATACTCCCTGTGGATTCTTGGCGGGGGCCTCTAGATTCTCTGGCAGCGGGCACTCGAGAGACACTCTGCTACAGAGTTCTCGACATGCTATGCTGGACTCTCCAAACCCTAAACCCTAAACCCCAAACCCAAAACCCTAAACCCTCAACTCTTCAAACTTGAGCTCTCAACCCTGAACCCTAAACCCTAAACCCTAAACCCTAAACGCTAAACCCTGAACCCTGAACCCTAAACCCTAAACCCTAACCCGAACCCCTACATTCTCTACGACATTGTCAGGAAGAGGGCGTTCCCTGGGATCCTCTGAAGAGAAGAGTTCTGAGAGAGTCGCTGGAGAGGTCTCTCTGTGACATACCTCTTCACTAGGGGACGCCGGGAGAGGAGTGAGAATGGGGCCTTAAGAATTAGAATCGGGTTTTGAGGGCTTCTTATCGCATATTGATAACGGGGCTTTTGGGGAATACTACTAGTAACTCTTCCGCCCCCCTATGTTACCTGAGCTCGGCGTCCCCTATGAACTCCGTAAGCTCCTTCAAAGCTTTCGACCCCTGAGCTTCTGCCTCGACTGTCTTGGTAGCCCAAGGAACCATCTTAGAATAAGGGTCTCAGTGGGCTATCAAGTGCGCCCTAAACCCTAAACCCTAAACCCTAAACCCTAAACCCTAAACCCTAAACCCTAAACCCTAGACCCCAAACCCTAAACCCTAAACCCTAAACCCTAAACCCTGAACCCTGAACCCTAAACCCCACCTTCAAGCAAGCCAGGCTCAACGTTAAGAAAACC